GTCTCGTGCTAGCAGCCGCGCCGAGCACCAACGCAAATGGCAGCGTTGGAAAAAACGGCAACGGAGCACTAGGCTCCGCTACCAAACTCGACAGATTTGTGCCCAAGGCGCCTGCGGTTATGTCCATGTGAAACATGTTCTCTACACTTGATCATAGCCATAAGCCTGAGGCATGACTGCACAATTTCACTGTCCGTGTATGTTACATAATAGCAATACGTACGTGTATGTTCTCATAATTATCAGTTATCATATCATATATGCACGATTGAGCTGTCAATTCTCAAATGTATTTACGTGTTCGGGTTGCGCGCACATACGTGTGTTATAAAACATACATACATACATACATATATATATATATACATACACACACACATAGAGTGCGGTTTTGTTTGGAAAAGGTTTTGCGTTGCGTGTGGGGAAACTGCCCAGGAGGCCATTTTCCACGTCCAGGGCCTGTGTGCAAAAATATACTATATAATAACCAACTGGAAAGCAAGTCAATAACAAAAACAAAAGCCCCGGCCGCAGGGCAAACAAACACAAGACAAGTGCACCATAATCAAGAAGGGAGTACAGAATGAAAGAGTTTTGTTCATACGATGCACTTGGGTTGTCCCTTCAGGTTATGTTAACCACTTCGATGGTTTTGCAAAATAAAAACAAAAAACACACCAAAAAACAACTACAAAATGCAAAAGCAAAAAACAAATCCAAAAAGCAAAAAAACGCAAATGAAAAAGCAAAAATTAAAATAGAAAAATAGATAAATACATATATACATATGTAAAAACAAAAAATACCAAAAAAAACAAACAGACAGAAAAAAACAAAAAAAACAGCGATCAAAAAAAGCAAATCCAAAAAGCAAAAACATGCAAATTACTGTAAACAGCAAATCAACAAACAAAAAAACAAATGAAAAAACACAAGCAAAAAAACAACAGAGTAAAAAAGCAAAAGCAAAAATAATGCAACACAAAAAAAAACAATAGAAACAACAAAAAGAAACGCTAAACCAAACGCACAAGTCCAAAAAATGACCAATGCAAAACACAAAGCCAAACAGCGCAAATCTCAAAAGCAACAACAATGACAATGATTGGAAAATTGCCAGCAAACAACACATATTCACAAATCATAAGTCAAAAAACATAGCAAAATACAGGACTTAGTACAGCGCAGCAAAACAAAGCTGTTTCCCAAGCTCGGCGCTATGGACTGGACCGCTGACTGCAGACTGTTGGGGCCCCTTTGTGTGCACATATAGTGCATGTAGTATAGTATAACACAGTGCTTCTATGTTGTCGCCGTGTCCCTTTCTACTAGGCCAAGTGATGGGGCGCAGCTAGCCGCCAGCTAGCCGCTGCTAGCTTGTTTTCTGGCCCTTAAACAATGCGCCACCGGTCAGAAGCAGGCTGTTTTTGCTACCCCACTGCCTGGGCGTGAGATCCCACCACCCCTCAGCCTAGCACGACCCCTCCTGCCGTCCCGGCAGACACCAAAAAGTCGGCGTGAGAGGCCCCCACCCCAGGCCCGGGCCGCCACCGAAAGGCACCAAAAATGGCTAGCAGCGGCTAGCAAAAGAACCAAAAAATAAGCGAAAAAAAACACAAAAATGATGCCCACCAAAAAAAGCAAAAAAATAGGACGCCGCCCCCCAAAAGCAATGAAAACAGGGAACCAATACTCCACAAAAGGACAAGAAACAGTAAAGTAAAGAAAAGTCGGAGAAAAACCAGGAAGAGCAAGACAAGGGCAAAAGAAGTCACAGGGAAGCAATGAAAAGCAAAGAAAAGCAAGGAAGCAAAACAAGCGCCAAAAAGAACAAGAAAAGCAGGAGCAATCATATAGAAGCAATGGAAACCAGAAAACAAGAAGCAAATCCAAAAAAATATCCCTAAACGCAACACAAAATATTGCCCCCGAAAAATAGCCCTCCATATACATAGACTATATCTGCGCACGTGTTTTATCATGTTTTATTGTGTTTCCTCTCCCTGCCTGCAGTGCAGTATTCCCAATTCACCATGAGTGGATTGCATTTGCCCTCTGCGTCACCGCCCTTGACCTCCTCGATTACCTTCTCCTTTGCCAGTAGTCGCAGGGCACAAGATCTGAGGCGTCTCTTGTTCTGTTTGAGGGTTGTGAGGGCACTTGCTTCGCTGGACACCTTCCTCATCACTGGGTCCATCTCCACAATGCGGGGGTGGTTTCATAAATTTCTGCTACTGTACGCTGATGGGGAGGACAGGTGTTGAAAAGGCATTTTCGAACGGGGTTTAACATAGAGGAAAAGGATATGTCAATACAAAATATACATTTTGTGGTTCCCTCGGTGTTTCTGGAATCGCCGTCTTAAGGCATCTTAAGGGGCACGCACTCACCTGGCCACGCACATCTACTGCACTGCACAAGCTTGGTGCATTGGTGTTATTTTGTGTGTGCGTTTGGTTCCAACCACTCTCTGGGCCCACCCTTTGCCCGCCACCACTTTGTAACTCCTGGTAAAGAAATTATCCTGTTGGTTCATGTGGATTGAGAGTCGGTTCATGTTTTCTTGTTGGCCTCTGGCAACATCCTGTAACAGTGACAAAATGTGATAAAGGGTTCAATTTCTCTCAGTCCAAGCGGATGGTCTATATGTCGGTACACAAAGGAATGTATGCGGGAGAAAGATGGAGAACGCACGCATATTGCCTGGTGGGGTCTGCAATGCCACGGCCCATCCCAGGAAACTCCAGCAGCCCTAGTGCTAGTTTTATCATTGTATGAACCCATGGGGTCGAGCAATTTTAGGAAATCATTGCAAATGATGAAAGCTGATTTTTCAGACCGCGAATGAAATCTGGAGACCGTGAAATGTATATTGAGAGGGGGGCACACCTCCCTTGAATCATTTATGTGCCCTGGTGATCCTTCCTTGTTTAGGACATTGCGCACGGCCACCTTGCTGTGCCCGTGATCTCTTTTCTCTGACTCACTGACACCTAAAGAGACCCAAAGATGGAGAAAACGGGCCAAGACCTCAAGGCCGTAACCTCGCACAACCAACCTCGCGCACCGGAAGCTGCGGCGACGAAGTCCCGGACAAAGAGGAAGTCCCGGAAGAAGAAGAGGAAAAAGAAGAAGACGACGAATACAAAAAAGGCAAGCGTGTAGAAAACGACAAGAAGTTAGTCCGGTAGCCCGGAAGAGTCTTGCAGAAGACTGAGAGGAGGAGAAACGAGATTCCGAAGAGAAACCACAAGAAGCCTGGGAAAACAAGCTGAACATCACTTCTACCTTGCCCGCCCAGAGGGGGTCAAAAATGTAACTTACAATTTTGGGTGTCGAAATGCAGGTTTTTGAACACGGTGAAATTTGAACATACAGGTATAAAATACCTCCATATCATCTGACAAGACAGGGGTCAAACTTGTAAGTGAGATTTTTGACCCTCATGTGTGTTTGTTCAGCCTGTGCGCACTCAAAAATTGTTAAGTTACATCGAGGGTGAAGTAGAAGCATGGACCCTCCCCCTCAAAATTGTAACTTACAATTTCCCATCTGTAATGAAAACCGATGACAAAGATTCCGCACAGCATTTTTCCGCGTTCATGATCGTTCATGATCGTTCATGAGTGTCTCAACCCCAAAACGAAAGCAACGCCGACACGGGAGGGGGGGGGAAATTGTAACTTGCTCTGCGAGGTGCCCACCCATCCATTCTTACAATTTGGACCCCCCCTCCCCCATCCTTTCAATCTCTCAAGAAGTAGGCCAAGACCTCTTTGAGTGGGGGGGTGTAAAAAAATGTAACATCCTCACATAGGCTACCTCAACCCTAGATCTAACAATTTTCACCCCCTATAGGGCTACCTCAACCCTATTGTCGTAAAATCAATAATTGTAAGTTACAATTTTGACCCCCCCGGGAGGGGTAGTGAGTGTTTGCCTAAATGTCCTCCTGCCCGGCAGTCAAGACAAACGTTCCAACTGACTCCAACAAGTCCAAAGTGCAGATCAATGTGTGACTGCAGACCTACCTTCACCTAAATAGCCTGAAATCTAGAGTGGCCCGTAGCTATCAACATCCACAGATTAGAGCAGGTACGTCACGGTGATCAGCCGTGATATCTGCATGTACATGGATGTGGTCCCCGTGCAACGTCCGCAGACTACCTGCCCAAAAACGCCAAAGAACACCCAAAAATGATCCGAAAACCAACCATAAACCTCAAAGGGAATCCAAAAGACCAGAAACCACAAAAGGGGGGATACCGGAGAAGACCCAAACAATTGAGAAATGTGCGAACTACAGACTACAGAAGAGATATTCCCGAGTTAGTTATATAGACAAGAACGAGGAGCCAAGAAAAGCAAGCAAGCAAGCAAGCAAGCAAGCAAGACATAAAACCAGAGAAACAAAGACAAGCAACACAAAAGGGGAAGGACACGGGAAGCGAAAGGCACAAAACAAAGGGCAGAAAACAAGTCAGAATCAGTCATCTGGGTCACGCAGGCAAGTTTGGGGTCTAGGAACAAAAGTGCAAGAATGGCTGCAAGACTTCGCGAGCAGAAAGACCCTCAGTTCAAAGGAATTAGTGCAGCCCAATGCATACAAACAAAAAGTAAGAAGCAACAGGAGACACTGAAACAAGCAGGAGCCAAGCGCCAAAATGCATCACGCTCACAGCATCCAGGTTCCGCACCAACAGCTGATGACGGCACTGAAGGATAAGTTTCCCTTTAAAAAAATAGAAACCAAATGATTAGTGCCAGCGCTTCTTCAAGGAAGCTTCCCCGCCCTCAGGCAGGGGGAGCTCCTTGAAGAAGCATGAGCTATCCAGCGTCCTACTAACTTAGCCCTGACTTAATCAAGTAGGCGACGGCTTCATCAAGTAGTAGGGGGGCAGAACAAATTAAAAAAGATAAGGGTCTTGTTAAAGGACCCAAAAAGCACCTTCTTTTTTCCCTTCAACGCTTCAATTCAGCTTGAATGTCCCAGAGCTGGCCTCCACATTGCCCTGCTCTAGCTGAATTTCAGCAAGCCGCACAGTTGCCTAAACCATGTGTGGCAAGAGTTTTGCGATTGCACCAAAGCGTGCCTTTGCAAGCCCAACCCAAAGAGGAGAGACCCTAACGGGACCTTACTCCAAAAGAGAAGGTCGACAAGAAGCATTAAAGAATTACAAATTACACTGTAATGGCCGCACGAACATCAAAATCATTCTAAGACCTAGGCATCTTTTCGGCATCAGGGAACAGAAGAGACAGGGGAAGGACTAAAAACCGATTAGTTATATAAGTTATATAGTTATAATTATGATTATGATTATGATTGCATTGGAGGAAGCTCCTACACGGAAGGGTACTTGGCTTCTACACCAAAAAGAAGTGTTGGATCAGGAGAGAAAGTTGCATGAAGATCAAGGATGACAACTGTGTCCATGCAAAGAGAAGAAAAAGGAGGAGGAGGAGAAGAAGAAGGATGTGCATGCGGCATCCAGATCACACTGAAAGGGATGAGACCCTTATCAAAAATTTGGCTTGACAAAGGATAAGAGTTGACCAACTGATAAATTTGTAGTGCAAAAGGTGCGATGGTTTTACTGGCAGAAGGCCTATCCCAAAAACTAGCAACCAAACGGCTTGTTCGGCTGAAAGAACAAGTACCTTTGGGAAGAGGGAGCTCGAAGGCCAATAGGGCAGTCATATGTTCTTCGAATGCCACTAAGCAGAAATTTGCTCTCCCATGAAACACCTCTCTTTGCGTATGCAACCACTTGCGGGTCAATACGCATCACTCTTCAGCCGGAATTGTTGCCATCATGGATTCCATGCGGAGATGCCTACCAGGGTGGCAGTGTACGTGGGAAACTTGACCGGTAGGAAACTTTCAAGTCGAGGGCAACACCTGACCCCCATGCATGCAAAGTGGATTCGTTGGCATATTCGTCAAAAGTGCGAGTTGCCGGACATTGCACTCAAGCAAGCCAAGGAGCATGGTACTACCAAGCTAGAAATTGCATGCAATCGAAGTGCGGACAGAGCAGCTAAGGAAGCGGCTTGGGCAAACATTGCAATAGATCATAGAGCCGACCCAGGCTCGAAGCTGCAACCCTTGAGTGACAGCAATGGCTGACACACATCAACTTCCGAATCGGCTTCTTGATCCAGAGGACCACAAAGATGTCGACCAGGAGTTTGCAGAAATGGATGCTTAAGGACTCACAAAATATTCCCACACTGGCCATGGGCGAAGCCTGCATGCAATTTATATTGCAGGTTTTCCGCCTGTACAAATTGACGCAAACCCCCCGCGCATAGGCACCGTTGGAAACAAAGAGAAGGCCTTTGTGTTGCCCATGCTGAATTTGAGGCGCTTTCCTGTTTCATTGCTGGAAGTAATATGAACTTGAGAAAGTTGGTGTCCAAACAAGCGCGATTGCTGACCTTGTAAAGGAGGCGGCAAGTGCTTGCCTAAGGGAGTCATCGAAGGAGCTACAGTTCTTTTTACTAACAAGTTGCTTTTGCGAGGTTGCTGCTCAGTGGTCCGGGCCACCACTTGTATTCTTGGAACATTGCATTGAGGAACCTTTAGGTTCCACTGTTTCAGATGCGGATGCGGCGGCTGTTCATTTTGCATTGACCCTCACTTTTGGCATGGCTCAAAATGGGTCAACATCGGTTAAAATGGCAAACACTCACAAGACACCAGTATGAGGCTACCTCAGTCAAACATAAATGGGTGGAACATGGACTCCAAAATACACGCAGGTCAGTATATGTTGCAATACTCCTTGGCAGATGTGGCACCTGTGTATTTCAGGTTCAACATAGAGGCATACATTCAACTCAAGTGTCTTCTCTCGCTTTTTGAATTTCTCATTAGTTCATTATAGTTCACAAGACAGGCCCAACAATGCCCAACATGCCACCATTGGCCACAACATGGCTTGGACATTGGGTCTCAAAATGGGTTTGGTCAGTACGTTGGTTGGCGTGGCTCAGCATGAGTCAGCATCAGCTGAAATAGTTCAAACATGGGTTGCGTGCGGTGTTTGAGTGTTTGAAGCTCTTGTTACTTGATGGTTCAATTTTGGCTAAACCTTTGCAATCGCGGCCACGCAGTTGTCAATTGCGGGATGTCTTTCCCCAGATAGCGAGAGCAATTGGGGTTCTTACTTCAAGTATAGGAAGAGGTGCGCGTGTGCGAATTGGAGCTTGGGTGCTGGTATGACTGCACAGTATGTGGCCGTGTGCGCTGATGATGCTAAAACTTGGTTGGCTGCTTGCATCTTCTAAAGCAGGACCAAAAGCATGAGAGGTAACAGTCTGGGCTAGACTAGCCAGCTTTTTCCATTACCTGACGTCATATGCTTGGTCACATTCACATCATGCCTTGGCCCTTGCACTTCTAGCTTGGCCTTCTCCAAATAAAGTTCGAAGAAGCGGGAAAGCGAAATGGCGTGGGCTAGGGGCCACTGAGGGAGGTCTAACAATCGCCTCACCATCACCATCGCGGCTCAATCGCGGATTTCGGCTTTGGTTTTTCTTCAACCGCACACAGCAGTGGCACGCAGCGACACTAGCACCAAAGCCGCCAAGCCCACACAGGAGCGGCACCAGCATCCAAGCACCCAAGCGCACAGCGCAGCGGCACCCTGCAGCGATACCAGCACCCAGGCTCAAAAGCGCACACATGCAACTCTCCCTATACTTGAGGTAAGAACTCCACTAGCTCTCGCTATCTGGGAAAAAATCCGCCGGCCTGCCGGCGTGTTTTGTGGATTGTTTTGGTTAGTATTGCTTGTGTTGGCTTCAATCTACGGTTTGTCTCTCCGCGCGGATTATGCGACAGCCTGACGCCCCCCCCCTCTACGTCTGGTGGTAGTAGTAGTAGTAGTAGTAGGAGTAGCAGTAGCAGTAGTAGTAGGTAGTAGGTAGTAGGTAGTAGGTAGTAGGTAGTAGGGTAGGTAGTAGGTAGTAGGTAGTAGGTAGTAGGTAGTAGGTCGAGTAGGTCGTAGGTAGTACGTAGTAGGTAGTAGGTCGCTGGATCAGAATAGACAACCATTGGACTGAGACATGTCGATCGCTGGATCAGAATAGACAACCTCTGATTCGGATTCGTTCCATTTCATTGTAAAACGACTTCGCTTGAAATCAACAGCAACAAACTCTCCCAGCAAAATGTGCAACTCCAATGCACCCACAAGTCTGATTGAGCAGGGTATTGTTGTTCGATGTCATTCTGGGTCTTTCATTTCAAACCGTTTGGAGAAAAAACGACAAGTCATGCCAGATCTAGAAATTCTTCGGTCGCTTTGAAGCCTTCTGTGTGTGAAAAAGAATATCTGGTGCGTGTCGCAATCCCTCGAGACGGTCGAAAAAAAGATCTGAAAAGGAAAACATGCAAACGGCCAAGTAGTTTGGAAGAAGAATCGTTTTCAAGGTCATGCTTTGTGGATAGTCTTGGTTCGCATTGCTTGTGTTGGTTTCAATTGGTTCCTCTTAGGTGATTCGACTGAGACATGCCGGTTCGGATCGCTGGATCAGAATAGACAACCTCTGATTCGGATTCGTTCCATTTCATGGTCAAACAACCTTGAAATAAACATCAACAAACTCACCCAGCCAAATGTGCAACTCCAATGCACCAACAAGTATGATTGAGCAGGGTATTGTATCATTAAGCTGCCTGCCAATGCGGGCTCGAGCTGGTGGCCGGCGGCATGCCGAAGGCTGTAAATATGCAGAAATCAACATCATTCTTGTGTTCTTCTTGCTTATGCAAATTCCTCTGGGCATTCTATTGTTCTGAAGCTTCTTTGGTTCTAATATGGTTCTCAATCGCGAGCCAATCGCCGATCAATCGCATGCAGCGTAATTAAATCGCGGAGGCTCAAAAATATAGATCCTTTCATGATTCTGAGATTCCCATTTACGATCGGCCCTCCCTTGAGCTTGGCTTTGTTAGAAACTGGTACCAAAGCCACTCCAAATGAGTCTGGAAACATCAATAATCTGTCACCCCATTGTCGCTAGCTTTGTGTGAAAATGATTTGTTCTGTATTGAATATCACTCTTCGACGACTCGCACACACACACACACACACGAAGGCCTCCTTCATCACATCCACTTCTGCCAAATCAGAGATGGTCTGGTCAAGCTCATTGTGTCCAGACTGAAACCCACCACGAAGCAAGTACGACTAAGAGTTCAGTCGAGCGTGGCAGCGGAGTTGATGATTGGTAGCTATCAGCCCAAAAACTTGAGCCTCTTCACACAAGTGCCTTTGAATGCGTGCAGCCATTTCAGCCTTGACTGAAAACTTCCGCTTTTAAGAATTCAACTTCTACCAATCTGAAAATGAGAAAGCAAAGCTGCAAAGCTCACAGATCTCATTGCGCAGGTGGGCTACCGCCACAGCATCAACTCGATCGCAAAGAACCCATTCCTTAAAAGAGAAAACATATGTATTGATTTTTTTGATTTTTTCTTTTTTGCCCGGGGGATAGTCCGCAGAGGTAGGTTAGCTAGGTAGGTAGCTAGTAGAAGCTAGGTAGCTAGTAGCTACAAGAACGCTACTACCTACTGGACGCAGGATAGCTCACGCTTCTTCAAGGAAGCTCCCCCCGCAGCCATAAAGACGGCGGGGTGGAGCTTCCTTGAAGAAGGGCTCACACTATATATTCATTTGGTTCCTAGATTTTTAGGGAAACCTATATACTGTAACTATGGAGAATAGATGAGGATAGGCTGCATGAAAAGAACAAGGCCTTACCATGCTTTCTCAGCTCCTTATCAGCTTCACATTCGCACATTGTCCAACCGGTGGGCGCCACCTCTGAACAATTGTGTGCAAAGAGCTCAGATCATTGCCACTATGGCCACCATGGCCTGTCGTGGTCTGCGTGTTTGTGGAGTCCCGCCTTTGTCACCAAACATGTCACATGCCACGCTGTATTGCGCACTGCGACTGAGGAAGTGGCAGGGCTTAAGAGGCTTGCAATCCAGGCCCAACACTCTGCCCTGCAATACTAGGTGGGAAAAAGATAAAATAAAAGATGGTTTTTTAAGCTTCTCACTTCGCACCTTCTTTTTTCTTGTCTGTTTGCCCTCTGCCCAAGTTCCGGCCATGAGTCCAAACAGTCTGAATCTTTCAAGCCTCTGGAAAATCACGCGAGCGTCGGACAGCAACCAGCGCCATGGCCAACAGCCTGCATCAGCTCTCAGGCAAGAAGCTTCAAAAACACTGAAGCAAAGCAGTGGCTTTACATGTTCGCCTCCGTCTCAGCTAAAAAGCAGGGATCGAGCTGTGAAGGCTGAGCATGTTGGAACTCCAATCGTGGCGGTTCCACTGTAAAGAGAAAACAAAATGTTTAGACCGGTAGTGCAGAATGCGCTGACTCATTGTACGCGGTTCTCATCCAATTTGCGAACTAGCCACACATTTTTGCCACAAGCTAATTTGCAGACCTTGCGACGCAAAGCCTTGCAGCGCCCCCTTGCGGCACCGCAAGACGGCACTTGAAACTGCAACTTGAGGTCTTCCAGGAGTCTTCCCCTGCGTGCCTTGCGGCGACATGCTTTGCCCATCTGGGATGCTGGAAAGGTGTGAAAACCGGGACAAAGCGGCGAAGCGGCAAAGCCAATTCGTACATGCAATCATTTGCTTCTAATTCCAGAGCGGGCATGAAAAGAGCTGTATTTTCAGGTGAAGGATCATGAGTAAAGTCATGTTTGTCAAGCACGTCAAACAAAACAGTTTCATTTGAGTTTGGAAGGCCGCCCGACTTCATCACACTCTGGAAAATGCTGAGGTGTTCTTAGAGATTCTAGAACGTCTGAAAGCTGCTGGGCCGGCATATCAAAATTATAGTTGGATCGGATGTATTATTTTTTTGAGTTTCTCCATTTGGACACCTCAAATGCAAAGGCCATCCAAGAAAATGGCCCAACCAACACTTCTGCAGAAGTGTGAAAGTGAACGAAACGGGGGAACAACTGCCTCAGGGAACGAAATGTACAAGGCAGCCTATTGAGGCACACCGCTTACAAAGCGTGTGTGCACAAGCAATAAGGTCCCGCTGTTCATCCTGGACGCAAAGGGTAGGTTTCAACAGACCTCAACCCTGTGCATTGCTCATTCTAAAGGCAGGAGAGGAACGAAGAACAAAGATTCAATGAAAGAATAGTTACAGTATATAAGGATAAACAAAAGTAATTAGAAATAAATATCTGATATGTGCAATGTCTGTTTCACTTTGCCACTGAGTTGGAATAGACCTGTCAACAGGGACCTTGCCTTGAGCGCCACAGTCAAGCCTTCCCGGATGAGGAGAATGGAAGCGATACACTAAAATAACAAAAGAAAAAATAATGGAATGTAGAATGGGCCCGAGATCTATCAACAAAACATATTTCAATTGGAATGACATTCCGAACGCAAAGCTGCCTTGAGCACACTTCTTGCGCGTTGGCTTCAGCATCATGTAGCCAAGCTCCAAATAAGGTTGCCTCAGAAATACATTTGGCAGCCCAGTTGAAGTGTCAAAAAAAGAACAACAACAAGATCTTTGAGCGCTAGTGTGCTCCGCCATGCAGAAAAAAAACTTGATGTCCAGATGAACAGCAGTCAAAATTTTGTTGTGGAGTTGCAGGTCATCATGATTTGGTGAGTGCATTATCATATTATCGTCGTCGTCTTCCACGTTCCTCATAGTGAGTGTGTTATTGTTTGTCGAGCAACCTATGCATTTTGATATCCCATGGCCACTCACTGACTATTCGTCACTTTCACTAATTTTGAGCCTAGCTCATATCCCGTGCGAGTGACTGAACTCACGCTCTGACTGGCGAGGCGCGCCTCCAGCATGTCTGCCGGAGTCGAAGCCACGGTCGGCTCTTTCCCTTCTTCGTCCCCGGAAGTCTGATCAAAAAGCAAATGTTCAAAGTCTTCCAAATTTTCTCGTATCGTGCCATCTTTTCCGTCCTCGCCAGCTGTCCCCCAAACTGCATCAGCCTGCAAACACGGAGATAAGTCTGCTATGGAAACATTTTTTATGGTCACCTGCAGATGCAACCCAGCACGAAGTATTCTTAGCAGACTGAGAACCACTGCCTGCAACTTCATCGCCCAAGCAATCGTAGGAGTCGGGGTTGACAAAATGGAAAGTGCCTAGCTCCACTTTGCAAGAGGCATGATCAAGCGTGATGAACCACCTTCAGAGCATGTGACGCGCTGTTTGGGTATCAAGGCCAACTTTGCACTCACAGCTTGATTCGGCTCTATAATTTTGCCTTGCGCATAGTTATACAGAGTTTATGAGAGCGGGCAGTTGTGGACTACTCATGGACTACTCATAGTAACAAATGCTACAACAAATGGACTACTCATAGTAACTACTAATTCAACTGTAGTTCGGTTCTAACCCACCTCTACATGAATTTTGGCTCAGCTTTCTCTCAAGCTCAACACTAACTTAAATCTAAGTATACAATCCAGTTCAAATCTAATTTTACGCACCTCTTCTTGATACTCAAAAGGGTTGAAGTCAGTTGAAAGTAACTTGACATGATGCAAATTATGCTATACAGATAGACTGTGAACTGCATGGAAAATGGTTCGCACTCCCTCTTGGCGATGCGAGACTCCAAAAGTGTTTCTGTGAGCTCACGTTGCCACCATAGTCCACTTCATTCTTCTCTTTCTTGCTGTGAACTGTCTGTTTTCTCAGAAACTGTGTTCCTAGAGGCCCCATCCCCACGGCGGCCGCTCTCCAGAAGGGGCCGCCATGGGGCAAAACCAAAAAACACCTTGAGAAAACGCAAAACACATACTTATGGGAGTCTTGATTAAACCTTCCCACCGAGGACAAACTTCTGAAAACAAGTTTTTTTGTGTGTTTTAGTTTTTTCTTCTAGAAATGTCTACAAAGTGCAGAATCTTCTGCAGAGTGCACTCCTGGCAGTGTAGTTTTCGTGACAAATGTTAACAGAGTGCCCTCCTCGCAATGTAGTGTTCTTGACAAATGAAACAGGGTGCCCTCCTGGCAGTGCAGTTTTCTTGGCAAATGTTAACAATGCCCTCCTGGCAGTGCAGTTTTCTTGACAAATGTTGACTCAAAAGAACATAAATTTGCGAGAAGACTTAACATGTGTCAAGAAAGCTGCACTACCACGAGAGCACTCTGTGGAAAATGTTAGCCCCTGTGGACAAATACCAAAAACCAAAAAACAAAAGAAATAAAACTAGACGACGGTTGGCCCGAGAGCGAGACATGTGATTGTCCAGCACTGTCGAAAAGATGTATAGAAAGAGAGAAAGAGAGAGTGGACGTGAAGGAGTGACAGTGTGGATGCGCAGGTGCGATATAGATCTGTAGATGTATGGAGGTGGGGAGGTATAGATTCGTTGATGTGAGCGTGCGAAGATGTAAATGTAGAAAGGCGAGAGAATGATATGTAGAAAGAAAGAAAGACAGGACAGAAGTCCAGGAGCGACTGTGAGGGGATGTAGACGGAGATGCGTCGACGCAACGGCAGCGCAACGTCAACCTTAGCTGTGCAAGCACAACGCTGAAGAAGTTCAAATAGAACTGAAGAACGTACGTTTCACACTGAAGTTGCCACCAAGATCATGACAAGTGACTCGTGCGTTCCAACTGCACATCGTTTGTCATGCAGGTGAAGTAGACACATATTAACGTCACGTCCCTTTTTGTGGCAGCCGCGGACCCCGTCGTTTGAGCGATGATGTCGTAGGTTCGTCCCGAACAGTCTCGACGGACGACCCGCGACATGAATTAGCCTCGGTGTGTTGCGCTGAAGTCTCTCTGCCATTCCGCGCGCAAACCTTCCAGGTGCCACAACGATTCCAAGACATATAGGGTCGATTGCGCCAAGGACGCAACGCTGGTCTTCTCTGAAGCAGCAACTGCACGGCTTCCAGTCCGGAAGCGACAACGAGCCAAGCGCACAAAATCCCTGCACTCCGATTGATGCCACCAAAGCAGTGAAAGAGCACCTGCATGGATTTGTCCCCGGCGACCGCCAGCATGGACTGTTCCCCACCAAAGCGCACTCGACACGCACGATCTCCGCAGAGGGTTGAGCCGGACACAACCAACTCGCACTCTCGCCTGCATTTCGCACCCTCGACACGCACGATCTCCGCAGAGGATTGCGCCGGACACAACCAAATCGCACTCTCGCCTGCACTTCGCACCCTCGACACGCACGATCTCCGCAGAGGGTTGCGCAGGACCGGGACAAATCGCACTCTCGCCTGCACTTGGCAGCCTCGACACGCACGATCTCCGCAGAGGGTTGCTCCGGACCGGGACAAATCGCACTCTCGCCTGCATTTCGCGCCCTCAACACGCACGATCTCCGCAGAGGGTTGCTCCGGACCGGGACAAATCGCACTCTCGCCTGCATTTCGCGCCCTCGACACGCACGATCTCCGCAGAGGGTTGCCCGCGACCGGGACAAATCGCACACTCGCCTGCATTTCGCACATTCGACACGCACGATCTCCGCAGAGGGTTGCGTTTCGTGGCGGTCCGGCGGCACCGCCCCCGGCCTTAAGAGAGAAAGTAAAGAAGAGCGAGAGGTGCAGATGTGAGATGTAGATGTGAGGATGTGAAGATGAGCAGAGATGATGTGAGGATGTGAAGATGAGCAGAGATGTAGATGTGCAGATGTGAACATGAGCAGAGATGTAGATATGTGAAGATGAAGATGAGCAGAGATGTAGATGTGAGGATGTGAAGATGAGCCGAGATGTAGATGTGCAGATGTGAATGTAGATGTGAAGATGTGAGGATGTGAAGATGAGCCGAGATGTAGATGTGCAAATGTGAATGTAGATGTGAAGATGAGCAGAGGTATAGGTGAGAATGTAGATGTGCAGAGGTGAAGATGTAGATGAGACGTAGTTCTGCAGATGTTTTTTTACGAAGGACCCTTCGCAGACGCTCTGGCGAAAAAACATTCAGAGGTCTGTGCTGTGTGGGAGGGTTCAGTCAAGACTCTCTGAAATATGTTCTTGTTTTTTTGTACTTATTTCGTCAATTGGTAAGGCTTTCCTGATTGTTGTACAGCCATTTTTGGCAGTGCAGTTGTCTTGACAAATGTTGACTCAAAAGAACGCCAAATTTGCCAGAAAGTTGCACTGCCAGGAGTGCCCGTTATGTCATTAGAGACAAGCCTCAAACCCAGCTACCTTGGGTTCAAGCTAGGTTGTGGCATTCTTTGGAAGGGTGCACAATGTAGGTCGAGGTCAAACACTGTGTGGCATCCTACGCGATCGCAGCTAGAAAGAGCAATGCTTGGAGGTAGTGGTCAGTACCCTACAGTGCTAACTTCAACTGTCACGTGTTGAGAGCCAAAACAGCTGGGAGGCTCGCTCCCACTTTAGTCTGAGAGAAAATCACCCACTTCTCACAAGTTCAAATCGCTCCTGCAACACGTTGGACTGTGAGAATTTTACTTACTTGCATCACCATTAGAGAGACTGACTGAGGGGTCCCGTTGCATGCTTAGCCCCGCCAACCAAGGTAAAATCAAAATGATATTTTAATGAAATCAAAAGGACATAATCTGGGGGCCCCAGGATAGAACTTCTTTCAGAGGTTCTTGGTTGACCCTGGGGGCATTGTTACTCAACACCATTACTGATTCTGGCTGCTAATTCTTTCAGCCACTTGGGCACTACGGCAGTTGAATGGAAGGAAGACGAATACACACATGAAATGGCCACCATTCGCAAAAAAGAACGAGGATCTTTGGCAACCTCATCGCGAAGCATGTTCCTAAAGAACATGCTTTGTCTTGTGTTTGAAGTGAAAAACAAACATGCAACACAAAGTTCACAGCTGTTTCAGCTACTCCAGGGTTCACTTGCAGCATCTGCGCGACAATCCTTGGGGAAAATCCTATACATCCTAGGGAGGCTCGGAATTGAGCGTGAATCAAGGGAACAAGGTCCCTTCGACATAGCACGCACAACTTCCAAACCTGGTGCCGGCTGCGAAATTGCGGGAAGGTAGCTGGGGGAATGGAAGGGGCCTCAAGTTTGGTAACCATTCGTGGAACTTTCGCATAATTCCAGTGATTTTCCCAAAACGGAGGATCGTTGCCCCACTGTCAGGGCTGGGCAAGGTGAGATACAGATGCAGTTTGTAAGTCCGTGATTGGGGAAAACAAAGTTTAGTTTGCTGTTAGTTTGTCCATCTGTGACAGTGGAGACACTTCTGAAAAAAAGACCTTCGATAAATCTGTCGCAATTGAAACTCATCGAGGATCTTTAGCGGACGGTTTGGAGAGCATCTAAAGGGTCGCTTTGCAAAACCATAGAGTATCATAGAGTCCACCAACACGATCGGGCGGTGTACAGAGTCCTGCTCGGATTTTAGAGCTGCCACAACAGTTGTTCCCTACAAACGAAATGTCTGCGCGTGCAAGATGTGGACTGGAGCCTTGCTTTCCCTGCATGATAAGGCCCACGCTTCAGGGTCAAATTTGCCCAACCAGCCAAGGTACCTCTGCTCCAGACAGAACACATAAATGCACAGCAAAGTGCTTGAAGTGCTTGGATTAACGAGGCAGAGACGTGGCGAGTCCAGGTCTTGCCTCCCCTATTCTTTTGAGCCTGTTGAAGACCTGGACAGGATGAAAAAGAACCCAAGAGTAGTGTTCCACAGTCTTCACATGTGTATACATTATACATATTGATAAATTAATATGGTACCCCCCCCAGACCCACCTGTTCAACCGATGTAAATACAAACGATACCAACAAGCTACTTGTGTTTTAAGGATTTGAAGTCGAAAGTCCAGTTTCAAGTCTGACAAGTGGAGGAATTTGTCCCTCTCAATTCTGACAAGTCCATCTTAGTGGATCCAAGATCCAAGATCTCAGGAGGGTCTTGGACCTTAATATAGCCGTCCTTAAGTATTTTCTCTTTTGCCCTTTGTATTTTCATGGACGAGGCAAGTTACCAAGTGTCCTGTCAGGGTGATCAACTATGCCAACCAGATGCTCGGCTACCTGAAGGCCACATTGAGCTGGACCTTGCACTACGGGAGGCCAAGGTCTGTGGTCCCGGGGAGCTGCATTTTGCAACCCGAGAAGGTGGAGGTCTTCGACTCGACCTGTTGGCGGATGCTTCGTTTGGCCCGCCTGCAGGTACACTTAACTCTACTTAAATCGCAATGCAACTGATATACTACCCTTGTTACCATCCAATCCAAATCCACATCAACAGTAGTTATGTTGGTTGGTTATATTATCCATAACTATAACCGTCCTTGGGTACTTTATCTGTTTTCCTGTCTATCCAGTATTCTATATATTGTTCAACCTTCCTATTAAAATAGTTCGTGATACATTGTTTGTTAAATTCATCTTCAGTATCATCACTGTCTTTTCAAACCTAACTCTCTTGAAATCGCAATGCAATTGAGAAACTACCCTTTTAATATCTAATCCCGCAGTAGTTACATGGATTGTTATACTATCCACCCACAAACCATTGGACATTAATATAACCATCCTTTGGTATCCAGTGTGCTATATATTGTTCAACCTTTATATTAAATTAGTTTGTGATTGTGATACATTGAATACTATAAATTCATCTTCAATTCCATCACTGTATGTTCAGACTTAACTCTACTTAAGTCTCTAGCTCGCGTGGTTGCCGTCCACAGCCACTCCCATAAGTTTTTTCAGTATTCTCTCCAGATTAGCCTTCATACTAATATTTCCTATATATATTGTTTCCGAATTTCATTAGATACATACTTGCAGGCGCTATTCATAAGACAATGATATGGATTCAGCCACTGATGTCAGTTGTAACATTTAGCACACGCCCAGATGCATTCTCAAATTTGTCCTTGCACAAAGCAGATGCAATTGCACCAGTATGCCCCACTTCAGACCCACCCAAGCCCACGAAAGGATGATGCGCTCAGATGCATTCCCAAGCTTGTCCTTGTGCAAAGATGCCCAAGTCTGCCCCACTTCAGATCCAGAGTAGGCTGGTGTATTTTGTCATGCCCAAGTATATCCAAAGCTGATATTTGGTCTTGCAGGTCACAAGATCAGAGGTCACAAAAAGGTGGGTCTTGGGGAGGGTAGCATGAATAGCTATTTATAAATATATATATATATGCTACCCCTTCAAAAAAAGATTAGCCTTGGATGCAACCATTCAAACATTGATATTACTGCGTGCAGGTACAACAGAAGCACTAAAAAATTTGTTTAATAGGCAAAATATTTCAAGTTTTTGAAACATTCAATTTAAAATTAGCTTAATATTTTAACAATGTTCAGATTTTTTATTCTGAACATTTAGAATATGGAAAAGTTTATTGAAATAGAATTTAATTAATGTTGTATGCTCGTTTTAATAACTAATACTAAATTGATCACTGAAATTGGCAACCCTCTTGAATCCCATAGTTTAAAAAGCATATTCTAAATATTTCACCTTTAAAAAACATTCAATATATGTTATGTTTTGGATTAAAATTGAACTTCTATAATGATATTTCAATATTTCGCCTATTAGTACTATTTAAACTGTTAAACATATTGAATTCAAAGGGGTTGCCAACTCAAGTAATCAATTTAATATTACGAACATGTAAAACATTCAATTAAATTTTAGTTAAATAAATAAAATAGTTTAGCTAACTTTTAATAGGCAAACTTTTTAAAAATATCTAAACCATTGAATTCAATTTTCCTTCAACCTTAAAAATTGTAAATACGTTATAATAGGCAACATATTTATTTCACCTAAAGTGTTGAATTAGAATTCTATTTAATGTTATAAATCTTTGAAGTGTTTCTTAGTATTTTAAATATTACGCCCATTATAAGATGTTTAAAATAGTGAAAATATTTAATTCAAATTGAACTTAATAGTTTAAATATATAAATACTTTGTTTCGCCTATTAACAAATATATTTAAACTATTGACCTCACAAAGGAGTTGCAAATTTCAGACACCAGTTCAATATCTAAGACATTTAAGTATCCAAAATATTGAATTAAATTTGCTATTAGCCTTTAGAATTTAAATGTGTTATACTAAATTGGTTCCTTCAATTGGTAATCCTCTTGAAATCAATTTTTAAATATTTTTAAATGTTCATCCTATTAAAAAACAAAATATTTAAACTATTTAGCTAAATTTGAATTTATTGTGTTAGATAGTTTCTTTATTTCGCCTATTAAAGATAATTAGTTAGAATATTTAAACTATTGAATTCACAGGAGTTGCCAATTCCAGGAGTCAATCTAATGTCTTAAACATTAAAACATTTAGTTCAATACGTTTTTTAATACGTAAAATATTTAAACTTTTTAAGCCACTAAATACAACTTTGAATTAATATTTAAACATGTTAAATCTTTTATAGGCTAAACATTTGCACAATCTATATTGAAATTGGGCTTACATTTTTAAATGCGTTGAATGTTTTAAGTATCAATTTGATGCGGGCGTATATGCGTTAAGACTGCCCGGGCCTGGGTTTGTGGTGCACGGACTGGTTTAAGGTGGTGCTCGGAGTGGTGCACGGGCTGGTGCACCAGGTTGGGCACCACGTTGTGCACCACCCCAAGCACCACTCCGAGCACCACCCCGAGCACCACTCCGATATTTTTGTCTTAAGAGAAAACCCTGGATAAAACACCGGAATCAACTTGATGTTGTTTAATCCTATGTGTGTTTCCGCGCAACCCCAAAGATGGAAACGCACACACCACAATGTTTGGTTTCCCTGCAGTTTCTGCAGTGAAAAAGATGGAACATAATGTAGTCCTATGATTAATAAACCCCCCTAGAATAGTGTCTTTTTTTTCCTGCACAGATTAATAAAGGCCCCCAGAATAATGTCTTTTTTTTGGGCAGGGATAGTTGTAGTTGAATATTTTTTATTGTTATAGTTTACTTTTTCCCTTTTGAGTTTTCTGGGATTTGCTTT